AGTCTCACGGCTTGCACGCGCCAACAGGCCCGTGGGCCCGGGGCATGACAAATGGTATCAGAGTCGTTGCCGGCCGGAAGTGTAGAGCTATGTGCTATACGGGGCTAAGTGCTACACTACGTGGATGCGGTAGGAGCCACCTCTAGAGCCCGTAGAACCACCTCTAGAGCCCACATCGCCTCGCAAGTGATACTGGGATGTGACAATTGTCATGTCGTGACGACGAGGACATCGTCTTTATAAGGTGGGGTAATTATGATACCCCCATTTTAGTCCAACATGGACTAGTGTGAAGAAATAGTTGCTTAAATAGAAAAGTCCAAGGCCCAAGAACAACTAGTGCTAGCATTTTAGTAGTGAACTTTAGCTAACATCAAGTTACTCTCAGTGGGTCCTACGGCTTGCACGCGCCAACGAGCCCATGGGTCCAGGACGTGACAGAAACGACTTTATTTTTAGCTTTAGAGAGGGAAAGGAGATGCACTGATGAAAACCCAAGAAGAAAAGCAAAAAAAAAAGTACCGAATCAATGTGGAGTCACAAATGATCACATTGTATCATACACATAGGGGCTGTTTGTTTCACTAGTGGGCAAGAATTGGATTAGGAATCCGGTTTTTTTATGGATTCCTACGTATTCCATAAAAACTTTTGAGACAAGTTTGTAGTTTCATGGAATCCCTTTTTTCATTGGCTAAATACCCGTATTGTTATTTTAATTCCACCTCATTTACCAAGAAGGTATTTTAATTAGGCAAACATGCTTTAAAGTATTTTAATTGATTCAACTTACCAACAACGTCCTTTTTCTCATCGGCGACCAGTTTTCCGGTGAGAGCTCGTCACGTGCGTGGCACGTGATGACTTAAACTATTTTTTACCACTGATGTGGCACGGATTTTCTGACGTGGCAGTGTTTAAAGGCGGGAATTAACCCTCTAAAAAATCCCAATTCACCCATAGGACAAATCCGTGCCATGTCAGCAGCTAAAAAACAGTTTAAATCATCACGTGCTACGCACGTGACGAGCTCTCGCCGGAAAACTGGTCACCGATGAGAAAAATGGCCTTGTTGGTAAGTTAAATCAATTAAAATGTCTTAAAGCAGGTTTGCCTAATTAAAATATCTTCTTGATAAATGAGGTAGAATTAAAATACCAATACGGGTATTTAACCTTTTTTCATTCTATGTTTGTTTCATTACATGGAAAAATAGAATCCAACTTTTATAGAAACCCTCCAATTCCTAATATCTAGTTTGGGTCAGAATGAAATTTTTTTGGGATCAACACTGTAGCAATGGCTAGTTCAATATCCAAAACAAAAACATTATAGCAACAGCTAGTTCCAATGGCTAGCTCAATATTCAAATCTGAAACGTTGTAGCAACGGCTAGTTCCAAGGCATTGGAGGCTATAAATTTAGCTTGAGGCCTCAATTTTTTCAATGCATTCTCCATTCTTACCAATTTATAAATTCTCATTGTTTGTAATTTGCCTCCCCGACATCAATATGATATCAGAAGAATGCTCCCAAAATTATGAATTTTATTGCGACTGCAATCTCCGAACACCTATGAAAATGTGCAAGAAGGGTAAAAAAAGGAAAGGTGTTTTTGGGGGTATGCAAAATTCCCAAATAAAGAATATCATTTTTTCGAATGGGCTGATGAAAGAGGAGAAATAAGCAACCAATGAAGCCAATATGTCAAAGAAAATAGGTACAGAGATAAATATTTTTTGCAATCAAAGAGGATGAAGAAAGAATTGAGACTTATCGAAAATCAACTATTAGTTTGGAAATTTTCAACAATTTTTTGTATTATTTTAATTTTTATAAACCGCATGTCATGTACTTGTACTTGCAAAAACTATTGATGTTGTAATAAAAACTGTTATTGGAATTGAGTACAAATTCTAGTTGATATTGTATTGCTCAGGAATAGATCAACTTGTCAAAATTGATGACCCACCTATAAGTTACAGGCTTTGCCTAAACATTATCAATTCAATGTAGGCTGCAATCTTATCACATTTTGCCTCATCTGAATATAATAAACACTGTAAGTTAGATTGCATTCTCAGTAAATGCTAATCATCATCATTGCCAAATATCAACTATGGAGCACATCATGCTCCAACCACACATCAACCAATAGCAACATAACCCCAATGTTAGCATCAAAACCGACAGCAGAACAAACGCACAAAAAACCCAAAGCCAAAGAGCTAAACAAGCTCCACCTGACAGCCAAAACCCCAAACAAGCGAAGAACAATCTCAAGCTCAACAACCGACATCAACAAACCCAAGTGAAGGAGCTGAACAAGCTCAAAAACTTGCTGGCAAAAAAAACGAAAGCCAAAGAGCTACACAAGCTCCAACTAACAGGCAAAACCCCAAAGCTAAGGAGCTACACAAGCTCAAATTCCGACAACAATAAACCCAAAGTCAAGGAGATACACAAGCTCCACAAATCTGATGGAAAAATAACCCAAAGCCAAAGAGCTAAACAGGCTGGCAAAAAAAACTGAAAGCCAAAGAGCTACACAAGCTCCAACTAACAAGCAAAACCCTAAAGCCAAGGAGCTACACAAGCTCAAATTCCGACAGCAATAAACCCAAAGGCAAGGAGCTACACAAGCCCCACAAATCTGATGGCAAAATAACCCAAAGGAACAATTTTTCAAAACAGCCCCATTTTATTTTTATTTTTATTTTTAAAATCGACCGATTTTTTTTATTTACCAAAACCGGTCCGTTTTTTACCACGTCAGCCTAATCACCGTCCTAAATAGTCGGGGTTGCCAACCCCGATTATT